AACAAATATAGGATTAAAACCATTTTAGAATACATTTGCCTGTGTTCTGTGGTCAACTTGGAGAAGCCTGCTCTGAGTTATTCCATCATGATATGTGGCCTCAAAAAGCAGAATCTTCTTTATTATGGCACTCGTATTACAAAAATCATAAAGGGTGGACTGCCTGGTTCCATTTTCACTCACTTATTATTGGACAATATAAGAACATTTATTTTAGCCAGATTTGTGATTATAATTCGCACTATTAAAAAGACTTGCAAATTCACTTTTTTCTACTGTGTTAACAAGAATGTTTAAAGTTGAGGCTTTGTATTTTTATAATTATTACTTTATTTCAATGAAGTTTTATTTTTTCAGATAAATAAAATGGTCCAAAAATGGCAGAATGGACTATATAAATATACTTTGCTAAAATCAGCCTGCTATCTTTTTAATTTCCCTTGACTTTTACCAAATAACAAATGAAGCAGCAGAAGCCCATATTTAAATATTGCCATATTCATCTCAAAACATTTGGGCTCTTTTTTTTCCCCGATCAGTTTGGCATTGATTACCTACTACCAAATACACATTTCAAAACAGAAGTTTATCAGCTTGAAAGCTACAAATGGAGAATTACAATTTAAAAAAAAAGCAATGCAATAGGGGGAAAAATGAACATTTACTGTATTTCTTGATACTCTGAGATTATCTACTACACTGCAAAATCATATCACAGATTGGTATCTATGGAAACAATATTTTTTATATAGGATTAACTTTGGCACCAGGAAAAAAAAAATATCATCTTTCATTTCAAATACATTTTCTCCTGTCTGCCCATCTTGGATATTTCTTAAGGCACCCTTCTAGCATTAAATGATCCTTCTCGGTACTAAGACTTAGGCAAAAATAAATCATATATGCATTATAAAATAAGTTACCATTTAAGAATTTTCTCCTGCTTCAGCAGGAGAAGGTAGGTTATACCATTGCTGATTTTGCTTTTTCTAAAAGAAATCTCTTCCATTCTCTGGGTAATTTCCTCACTTCTCTATCTTGGATGTAATTCACTGCCAATGTTCAAATGAACTGGCATAAATGTTATAGTTATCTTCTTGGACTCTTACCAGGGTGACCAAATGAGTTTTCATTTACAGACATCTTATGTGCAGCATGTTTTCCATAGGGAGGCCAACCAAGTATCAAATATTACAAGCTTCCCAAAGTTATTCTTAGCTGCCCAGAGGCACTTATAAATTCTTTCAATCAATCGACATTTTTTTTATCTTTCCAACACAAAGGAAAGCCCCTTTTCTTTTTAAGTTATAGTTTACCTTTGCTGTTAATGTTGTTCTTCTATTTTTAGTAATATTTTATCCTTTTTTCTGTGAAATATTGTAATTTTTAACTCTACCCTGCTCTGGAACTTATTAGCTTAATGCTGAGGCATAAAGAAGAAGGAAGAAAATCATCATCATCAACATCAGTATGTGAGTTGGGCAGCCATATAAATTGGTTAAATAAATAAATAGTGTTGATGTTTTTGGTGGGATGGGAGTTGATGGGTTTTTTTGTACTGGGGATTTTACTTTGTAAGCTGCCTGGAGTCACTGTGTGTGAGTTGGGCGGCCATATAAATTTGTTAAATAAATAAATAAATAAATAAATAAAATAAAATCTAGGAGTAAAGCCTTGTGATTATAATCAAATGCTGTTAAACATAGAATAGAAAAAAGAATCTTAATATCTGGAGACTGAGGGCATGGAAGGAAGCAACAGAGACATAAATGCCAATTTTCACATATGATACATAATCAGCCCCACCAAAAGAATTAGATGTGTATAACCAGCCTTGGCTAGTTTGGTGACCTCCCAAATTCTAAACAAGCATAACCACCAGCAACAGTTAGTATAAGAATTTCCTCAATAAAATGAGAGTGATAGTTTTTCCTGAACTCACTTTTCCTACTGAATTTACAATTCTACTGTTTGTCCATCTCCTATCCCTCCTAATACAGAAAAGAAATTGTCTCCAAATCATGACTTTCTCCCTCCTTTTTTCTTCTTCTTTTGATCAACAGTAGTCAAAGAGATATTGGAGGAAGGATTTTAAAATGCTGTTCTTAAATATATACACCTATATTGTAAACAGTGGTGAAACATGAATAGTGAAAACAAATGCATTTCAGAGAAATGGAAGGTACTTTTTAAAATTTTGCAACGTAATTCTCCACTTTAAAAAAAGGAGTAGAAATCTGTATATTGGATAAAATGTATATGAATACATAATACATTTGAAAATTTGTGCATTTTTAAGGGAAAAATTACACTTAGATTGGTAAAAGTGCATACAAAATGTATATATTTGGAGAAATATGTACATGTATTTCTGCATATTTAATGAACATTTTAATTTTTATTTTTAAAAATATTATACACAAATTAAATGGCAATACAACTATATAACTATATAAAATACAACATACTTTGAAAAAGAATCAGTTTATTTTATTTTTTAAAAACTATATAGTATGGAAAAAATAGCAAGAGAAAAATACGTATATATATACTATATTACTATACAAAATTATACTATGCCAAATTACCTAAGGAAAAGAGAAAGAAAAAGAAGGAAGTCCTTAGAAAACGAAAAACCCTTTAAAAACAAATGAACTAAACAAAACTAGAAACTCAAAAAAGAAATACTTGTGTAAATTATATGTAATCATACACATATACACATACACTGTTTAAAGAAGATAGATAGATAGATAGATAGATAGATAGATAGATAGATAGATAGATAGATAGATAGACAGACAGACAGACAGACAGACAGACAGACAGACCTATTAAAATCACAGCTCTCTCCAACTTCAACATTATGATTCAATTTTTAAACAATTAAGACTTTTTGGAAATTTACCGAAGAGTAAAATGTTACAGTTTTGCTAATCCATAGACTGTTCCCCTGTATTGAAAGGAGCTTCAAGTATTGTATTTACCTTCTGACATCCATTTCATACTAGGCGAGCTCTATCTGTCTTCTCTAATAAAACAGGTATTGGGTCTAAAGTTTCATTCAGACATTAATTTTCAGTGGTTCCTTTCTCCAGCAACAAGTGTGGGAGGAAACACAGCATTCACTGTTCCTGTCATACTCTCTGCTAGGAGAGACTCTGGTTTATAATTTTGGCAATAACAATTAGTAGCTTAACCTGAGCAAACATTTGCTGGACAGATTCACTTAAACATCCATGACTGAAGACCATTTGGAGGGTTAAAGATCAGTACCTGCATTATATCCCAAAACCAACTACAGACCTCTAACATTTCTTTAGTAAAATTCCTTAAACACATGTCTGACCACTTGTTTTGAAAAGTTCCCAATGTTTTTCCTATTAGTTAGTTGCAATCAATCTAACAACCCCTCCTTAACTGTATTTCAGCACTTCTGGATGCTACTTAGAGGTCAGCTTGCCATCCAGAAGATGAGGTACTAAAGCAACTGTAGACAACCATAGGATAAAATTAAAGGTACAACCCCAGACTAAAGTTACAGAAAAGTTCAGGCACGCATTGAGGCTGAAGTGCGCAATCAGTGCTGAAAGGGAATAACGCTGTCTAGCTCTGTTTAACCATTCAGTGGAGAAAACCATTTCTAACACTGCAAAAGCTGGGGTACGTATTCCATGTGCACATCAATGATTTCAGGAGCTTCAGATCACAGCCAAGGTGTGCAACCTGCCCTGTAGATATTTGAATTCTTTCATGTACTTAACTGAATGTTCATTCTTTATATTTGCAGCATTAGTTTTAAAAAATAGCATACTGGTTTCGCCCCAGAAGTGTTGCTAGAAGACCACACAAAGCTGTTAACAGCAATTTCAAACCCTAAAAATTGAAGGTTTTCTTTTCTAATGAATATCAGTCTGGGAAAAACCTAACCAGCCATCTTATATGATGCCTGGCTTTAGGTTTTCTATATGAGGGGACAGTACTGAAAGCAATTATAATAGGGTTGAACCTTACCTGGGGGGTTCTGGAGGAACTCGGACTGCTGGCAGCTGAAGACACCATGCTCACATTGGGGTTCATACTCCTCTCTCTCTCATCCTGATATATACGATCTCGCTCTGTCTCAGGTAGGTTGAGGAAATTCTGCATTGCCCTCAGATTTACCAGGAGGGACTGGGAAGCTGTTCTAGGGTCTTCTTCTTTACGCAGTATCTCTGATAGCAATCCCTGGTTCAAAAAATTAAAAAAAAAAGAGGCCAAGTCTTTTTAAAAAATGTGTTAGTTGTAATCAGCCAGGCTGCAGTGCTGAGACCCTTCATCAGATGTCAAAGCATATGGAATGTTTTCTAGAAACAAACCTTGTTTTCTAAGGACCATGGCTGATTTAAGAGCAATTATATTTAAATTCTACCTTTCATTTAAGAAGAATCCAAACACAACGGTGCCAAAGAGGCAAGTGGATAGTAAGACACCATTATAAAACTACAATTATAGCCAGGTGCCTAAGAAGTATTAATGCTCTCACTTTTTCTGCTTGAGGCTGCAAACACTTGGCAGTTCTGTTCATCTTCAGGAATCTGCCAAGTTTGGTAAATTTAGTTCAGACATTAAAAAGCTCAGGAGACTTATGAAGAAAAATGTTTGGCAGGGTTTGGATGTTACAGTTCATTCACTGCAAACTGTCAATTCTTTCTAATGGGGAAAATGCTGCAAATATGAGAAATCCTCAAGATATTTCATCTTTAAAATTAATAATTTGGAAATTTCTTGCTGCCTCATTTAAAAAGTCAGGAGGTGGCAATGCTCAGAATCATCTAGATTGTTCGGTTTTTTACATGAAAGAAGTCAGAGGCTCAGTTACAAGTGTACTAAGTAATTAGGCCTTAGAAACCTAGCAAAGTCAAGGAACATAAAAAATTACAAAGTACGTGGGACATAAATGTTACAGATCACTCTGTGGACCTCTCCAATACTAATTTTAACAAAGCAAAGTCTGGAGTCTTTGCTTAGCAGAATCTCTAATCATTTGCTCTCCTTCCATGTCCCTCTGTCCTGCAGAACTCCAAGTAAAACTTCCTTCTTATAGCATAAATCATATCCAGAAAATAACTACTAATTGCACTGAAAATAAATGGTACAACAGCCACCTAAATGTTACTTTGTCCATACTCCTTCTCCTTCCTTCTACCTGCACTCTGCATACACCTTCAACACATCGCCTTTTCCTCTGAAATACCATTCTCAACAGTAAGTGCGTAAGTATCCTTTCTTTAAAAAAAAAGCTAGAAGGGTAAAATCACATGCTGCATTGTTTCTAGGCAGGAAAGCTCAATACAGGTTATAACAAATGAATATGCCCCAAGCTTATGTCAATACACAAAGAAATGAAGTTTCCCTGGGTCAAGATATATAGGGGAAATGCTCACAATTGGTTAATATCATATATGAGAAATTCATACATACATGAGAAACTGAAACTGATAGTCTTTGAAGAACCAACTAAATATCCTTTGCTGTGACACAAAAATATCATAGTATAGATCTAGTAGCAGACTAGAATCACACAAATAGAAGATTATAAAAAAAAATCAAATATTTGGGAACTATCGGACTGGTCACTTTCCTTCAGTCCAATCTACTTCACAGGGTTGTAGTTGTGAAATAAAATAGGAGGGAACAGTATGTATGCCACCTTGAGCTTCTGTTCTAAAAGACGGGATATAACTCTTAACAAATATGCAAATAAATACAAAATATGAAATAATTATTCCAGACACAGGTGCTTGCTATATGTTGCTATTTGTTCTATCAGTTACATGCTTCTGTTTTCTTATTCATGAATGAAATGTACATGATTAATCTTATCGGAATCTGCATGGCCATTTTTAGGGGCATAAAAAAAACACAATGTTTTAAAGTACAACCAAGTATAAGTACAGTGACCATATTTTCTTGGAAAAAAAATAAAGAACAAACCTGAAAAAGGGGCAAATCTGAAAGAGGTTCATAGGGATAAGACTTCAGCAAGCCTGGGATCTCCTGATATTAGGAAGCTTGCACACTGATGGTGTTATATGTAATATCCTCCCTCTCGTGGTCTTGTTTTACCTATTCTTATTGTTTTAATGGGTTTGTAAAATGTTTTAATTCCTGGTTTTATTGTAGCCACCCAGAGTCATTCATGTGAGATGGGCAGACATGTACATTTGACAAAATAAATAAATAAATAAATATTTAATTCTTTATATTTATAATTTTGCTTTACAAAGGAAAAATTATGAGCAAAACCAAGAAAATGAATAATTTAATTAAATTAATCTAAAGGATAGCTTTCTGAAATAAAGGACTGTACTTTATAATAATAAAGGACATATAGTCACTGTAAGTATAAGGTACAAAAATGCAGCATTTTGACAATATGCCTATTGTCATCAGTGCAATTTGTTGTTTTGCAAATATTTTGTATTTTGAATTCTTTTTTAAAAAAAAGACAAGTAAAAAATAATGGTGTAATGGCACACTCCCTATTACAGAGACTGTAGGCCATATGTGTGAAACTCAAGGCCCGCAGGCCACATCCGGCCCAGCGTGTAATTATATCCGGCCCACGAGAGCATTTTTTATATTATTTTTATTAATGGCCCGGCGGTTTGAAGCGCTCGTAACAAAATAA